ATTATAAATGCTGTTTTATTCAGTACTGGTCTTTGCGGAGCATAGTGGTTTGCTCGCGCCCCCATTGTGTTTTTCAAGAGGCGGAGTCGAGCGTGCCGGATGAGCACAGATGTGGCGCAGCGTGGTCATGAGAGTCGGACATATTTTACCAGCAATTTTATGTCCTAAATTTATGATCATGTGTATTTTATTCAGATTATGTACGCATGTTATGTATTCGTATTTCGGATGCTTCCGCCAGCGAGTTTTCTAGACAGTGCGAGACAGTACAGACTATGCATGTATAATTCCATAATCCGCGAGCGGAAAGTCTGGTTGCATGTTTTTATTACGTCTGTGGGCAAGCCCAAGTTTCTGTTTAAGTTCTTATCTGTGACATCCCGCAATAAGTCAGTATTTTCGAAAACCCAGCTCGCACGACCTTTCGAAAATAAAAACGAAAATTTTACTCTGATTTTTTTCAAAGCTAGTAGTGAGGCGGGGTGTGACAGAAGGTGGTATCAGAGCGCAGATTTGCGTTTCTGCATATTTTCAAAGTTTAGAAAAGCATGACCACGCCACGCTCATCCGCGCCGACTCCGAGGTAAGTTACCTGACTTTGTTTAAGATTTGCAAGTGCTAAATTCAGTTTAAGTATGGGGCCTAGATAACCATCCTCCTTAAAAAAAGAAAAGAAAGAACTCTAGACAGAACTTTAGAACAGCTAAGTCCAAGAACTCTAGACTAAGTCAGAACTCCATTACGGGCCAGAACACCGAAAGATTAAGCATACCGGAACTCTAGCCAAGCTAGGAGTTTTCGGATATTATTTCCTTATTATTTCAAAAGTAGTATGGCTATTTCTTAATCGGCTATACTAATCAATTCAAGCGTTTCCAGGATTTCAGAATGGGACCGCGTAGAGATCCCCAGGCACCAGTTGAGCAGGATCAGGCTGTTGTGGTCAGCCGATTCCGTACGTATGATCCGCCCCGTTTCTCTGGGGAGAGTGGCCCGTTAGCCGTGGCCGAGTGGATCTGGAAGATGGAGAGGATCTTTCGTATTATGGGTATTTCTGAGGCGCATAAGATGGCT